TTTGCTACAAGAGTCTCCTCCGAGGTTTTCGATTGAGAGCCTATTAATCTCGACAATGCGTCAGCTTGCCCGAAAGCGGTAGTAGACTGATACTTGATCTTGAAGTCGTAACCCAGAAGTGTGGTTGCCCATCGTTGTAGTCTGTTAGCTGTATGAACAGGAATTCCTTTCTTTGACCCAAAAACTGCAAGTAGTGGTTTATGGTCTGTTATTAGGGTAAAATGTCGACCATATATCATCTTGTGGAACTTTTTCACTGCAAAGATAATTGATAGGGCTTCTTTCTCGATTTGGCTATAGTTCCTTTCGGTCGTTGTCAAAGATCTGGCAGCGTGTGAGATAGCTTTTTCAGACCCATCAGGAAAAATGTGAGAGATAACTGCGCCCACACCATAGTTAGAAGCATCTGAAGCGACGACTATCGGTAGAGAAGGATCATAATGTGTCAATAAGAGATCGGAAGTTAGAAGTTGCTTGATTTTCTCAAAAGATGCTTGGCAGTCTGCAGACCAATTCCATCTTGTGTTCTTTTGTAGTAGGTTGTTTAGTGGAGCACGTAGACGATGGAGATCGGGGAGAAAGGTACCGTAATGACTGACCAATCCCAAGAATGATCGTAGGGTAGTAACGTCTCTGGGTCTAGGCATTGTGTTCACTGCTTCAATGTTCTCTGGATCTGGACGTCTTCCGTCTTTATCTATTATGAACCCAAGGTACCGTACTTGCTGCATATAGAAGTCACACTTTTCCGCTCGGAGGCGAAAACCATAATCAGCTATGCGTTCTAGTACCTGGTCCAGTTTCTTCTGCAGGTCCATTTTATCTACTGCCGTAATTATGATGTCGTCTAGGTAAGCTGCAGCTCCTGGAATACCTTGTAACATGGTATCCATAATTTGCTGAAAAATAGAGGGCGCTGTCTTTACCCCAAAAGGTAGTCGGTTATACCGGAACAGACCTTTGTGCGTGTTGATCGTTAAGAGATCTTTGCTTTCATCAGATACAGGAATTTGTAGATATGCGTCTGATAAGTCCAATTTTGCAAAATATCTGCCACCGTTCAGCTTAGCGAAAAGATCTTCTGGTAAGGGTAACGGATACTGATGAGACTGTAGCGCTTCATTTATGCCCCTTCCGATGACATTTGCTGCAACGATGTTCTTTATATGGGCAAAAACTCTTATAGTGCCAACCTCCACATGCCCAGCATGGAGATGGTGGTTTGTCGCTGTTATTTTGGAAATTATGGGTACTGGAACCTTGAAAGACTTTTCTCTTAACTGCATTGACGTTACGGAAAGAGTTACCGTTTTCTACCATTGAGGTATCATGCTTTAAGTTTACTAACCTTTGGCACTCAGTAGTCACTTCTTGCAGGGTCATATTAGGGCACTGTTCGAGTTTGCTTAGGATTCTGGTTCGTATATCGGCATCTTCGGGTGAACGCAGGCTGCAGATAAACACTAAGCATTTAAACTGATCTTCAGACATGGACGACAATCTAAACCTCTCACATTCTCGGTTCACCGTTCCTGCAAGCTTTACCCAATCATCTCCTGGTTCTTTTGTTAACTTTAGGCATTGGTAACGGATATTAAATAGAGATGATTGTTCTCCGAATATTTGGGATAGGGTTTTGACTGTATCATCAAAACTAAAATCTCGTGGGTTCTTCGGAAGAATGAAGTTGCTATAGCGTTCATGTTCCATAGTACCAAGTTTTCTAAGAAGTATTCTGACTTTTGAAGCATCATCCAGTTTGCAAAGATCAATACAAAACAAATCTTCATACTTCTTAAACCACGACTCGAAAGTTACACCTGCTGCACCATCAAAATTAAATTCATGGATGGCGTTAATGACTGAATCAGTATGTGATACTTGAGATTCACTAGAAGCAGGGTTTTTCTCGGACAGGCAGAATTTCTGCATCAGGGTTTCCATGATTCTAATATGGGACTCTTCAAACCTCTTTTCTTGACGCACCATATAAGCTTCTAATTGCTCCAAGGAAATATTCATTGAAGTTTTCATCCCCGTCGCCACTGATAAGTCGTGTAGGTTGAACGCTATATACGATTCCTAAGCTATTTCGGTAACCCGCAGTCTAGAACTACACAGCGACTTGAACTCCAGAGAGAAGACACAAGAATGAGAGAAAGCACTTTATTCCAAGGTTCATTTTTGTACAGAAAATCATGGGTATTTATAGATTTTGGCGTCTGTTAAATCAACATCATTTTACAGCCATTCCGATAACAACACATTATGCTACCGACCAATAGTAGCACGCCACGTTGGAATTCTAGAACGTTCCATCACACTCTGATTGGCCAGGACTCTTCGGCTCCTTGTGGGCCTCTGGAGGCTCCGTTGAAGTTCTCCGGAAGCCGACCCAACAGTATCAAAACAAATTCTCGAGTGATAGTAAAATAATAGTAGTAATAGTATAAGTGGTATTAGAACACATCATGTATATAGAAAATAGCATTAGAGAAGAAAGAATGAATTGAAGGGATAAAGTAATTATAGGATAGTTCAGAACTGGATATCTAAGGGAAGATGCTGAATACGTGCATCTGCACCAATGAGAAATATCCTAAGCCATGTCACTCAACGTTTCCAACTATCGGTACGATAGTCGTGACACCAATTAGGTGAGCTTCATCTGACAACACGGTTCAGTATAACAGTTAGTGAACTTTACACATTGATGTCACAGCTTGATTTGGTCGAGCTTACAGATTTCTTCCAGCCCACTACATAAACGAACACCGCCTGTTAAAGTATGAGGCTTTGGGGGGAAAGTAATACATGTTCGCACCCGAATGCCCTGGTACGGTCGAGAGTGGGGAGAGTCCGATCTCCCTCTCGAAATGCTCTCACATGGCCACGCGTATATAGCCTCTGCCAGGGAAGTCCTACTCATTGCCTTCTCGTGGCGGGAGTGTTGTTTACGAAATTGAGAGGACGAAAAGCGAATATCTGGCGCTTTAACTGGGTTGACGAACACGGAGAGTCCACCTAAGGGAGTCGGAAAATCCTGTTTCCAAAACAATGCTGAACATGGGCTTCAGTGTCATGAAGGAACAAATGGCATATGACTTTATTTATTTATTTTAGCACATAGAAATTGATACAAGGAGGCACCAAATACATATGCGCCACACAAATGTGTGAGGGCTGTGATACTGCCCAGGAGCCCAAACCGAAGTAGGTGGTTTCCTTAGGGGGTCACACTCCGAGCATTTGACACAATAATCTAATCCACAAGGTAGTGGACCAACGTTATAAGATGCAGTCCCATGGTAGTCGATGACCAACAATTGGCTCATACGCCATTTGTTCCTTCAAAATACTGGAGCCCATGTGCACCATTGGTTTGAAATCAGGATTTTCCGACTCCCTTAGGTGGACTCTCCATGTTCGCCAACCCAGTTAAAGCGCCAGATATTCGCTTTCCGCCCTCTCAATTTCGTAAACAACACCCCCGCCACGAGAAGGCAATGAGTAGGACTTCCCTGGCAGAGGCTATATACGCGTGGCCATGTGAGAGCATTTCGAGAGGGAGAGCGGACTCTCCCCACTCTCGGCCGTACCAGGGCATTTGGAGGCAATGGCATATGAATCATTTATTGGTCAACGGCTGCAATGGGACTGCATCTTCTAACGTTGATCCACCACCTTGTGAATTAGATTCTTATGTCAAATGCTCGGGGTGAACCCCCTAAGGAAACCACCTACTTCGGTTTGGGCACCCGGGCAGTATCATAGCCCACACACAATCAAGTGACTTGTGTGACGCATACGTATTCTGTGCCCTTTGTACCAATGTTTATGTGTAATACATGTCCAAATCTCTGTAGTAGATGAGGATCCTGTTGGGGCCGATATATCCCCCAAACTCATATTTTGTAATTTTATCATATCGATTAAATGTTTAAATATTTGAATGGCAGTCAGTTGATGAACTTATCGATTAAATTTTTAAATAGCAGACCATTGATGACTCATTGATTATTGTTTGAAAATTTCCTATGACAAAATCGATATATATTTGTATAAATACGCTTGACTTGTATGCTTGATCTGATCTGCCTGACCTGGCTTGGTATCTGCTGTTGCTTGTAGAATACACTTTCTACGCCTTACCAAGACTTCTTGATCGAGTTAGCTGAGTCGAAGACAACGGACCAGAATAGTCTATTGAGTCTCTGAATCATGAGCCTTCGTTCCGTTCCGAATAAGTCGAATCAGTAGTATCCTCAAGGTTAATGAACCTAACAGATCCACTATTTTATCAACTAAATCGCCACACTAACCCCTTACACTGAGTCTATCTTCAGCATTGCTCATGGAGTGATTCCCAAACATACAAGAAATGTTTCGGATTCACATACATAATTTCAACAAGTAGGATAGCGTTCGACATATTCTTGGGAATTCTTAATGAAGTTGAGGAGAATACAATAGAGTTAACCTTAAAAACTAAGAACAATCACGCTTAACATTTTCTGAGAAAATCAACATCATGAACTTGCATTTATTAATGTGATATATTAAAATCTTTGTAAATAACTAGTATCAACTAAATATATGTTGAAGCAAACATTATCGGTTCCTTGCTGATCTGATGCCACAACTTTTCTACAATATTAGGGACCGACTGAGACTGATAAATATTTGAGGGAACAAAAAAGTTTAAATCCTGCCTATGTTCAAACAATTCGTGATTGTCAACAAAGTCTATTTGGTAGCAAAGCAATAAAACTGCTATAATCTCAATAAGGTATCATAAGTCACAATAATAGACACTATCTTTACTATAACTCTTCTGGTATGGAACTTTTCAACTTTTTATCCTTCTGTTGATGTAGTGTAGCTACCTGAGCAACATGAATATTTACGCGAGGTATTGTGTTGCTTTAATGGACTGACGAATTTGCAGACAGTTACTTATAATGACTTTTTTCAAGATTGATGATGAACTGTTAGTTTTTAAAGCTGTAAAAAGATTTTTTATATTTATTACACTTAAAGAAAAATATAACAGTATCTCGAAATGAAAGGGAATCCACAAAAACTCGAATTGTAATTGAAAATGATCTTGAGTTAATATACATGTATATGAAGGTAGATAAAGTGTGTGTGTGTATGTGTGAAAAAAGTAACCAATTATACTGTACAAATTTGATAGAACAAATAAAAATGCTGATAATAAAACTGGTTTACAATCTTTAGAAGGAAAAAATGTCGAGATTTGAATAAAAGACGAAAATTTCACCGACGTACTTTCGGTTTGCGTTTAGTTTTTTGCTTCCTGTTGAAGCTAACATGTGAAGGAGACCAACGATCATCTGATGAGAATGAGTCGATTGACAAGTCATCATCTTCATCAGTACATTGTGATGAATTAACAAAAGAGGAGTCATTTGATGGTTCTGAAGTGGAAACACAAGACATTTCTGAAGTATATAAAGATTGACTAGAAGAGTTACTATCATCAGATATATTTGAAGGTCGGCGTCGACGAGGTCGCTTACGAATAGGACGTTTTTTATTGGATTGAGTACTGACAGTATTTTTCTTAGATTTAACGTTTTTACTACTACTGCTTGTTGAAGGGAGATTTTCAATTCCTTGTTGATTTTGTTCATTGGATGCTTCAGATGTACTTCTGATACGAGTAGATCGTTCTTGTATTAGGCGTGCTAATGCAGCAGCTTGTTGTTGTTTGATTATATGAGCATTGCGACGACCAGTGATTGTCGAAGAACTTGCTATTGAACAAGGTTTATCTGGGAATTCATCTATAAAACAATAATGACAGAAATACAAAATAGACCTGAAGATTAATAAATAAAATATTTGCAAACAAATAAAATCTTTCATTCATTTTCAGCCGTTTAAGATGAAATAATAGGAGTTCAATTAAAATAATAAAACGATCAGACTGTAAACAAATAAATACTACTTAGTTAAAGAGTAGAAGAATTCACGAAATAAATGATTATAATTCAGTTACCAACAATACATCAGAGTTATGATGAAGTTGAACATGATATATATAAGAAAATAAATCTGACTATCTAGACATAATATAAAAAGTTGTGACCAGTGTGTAAATTAACCCGACTAACTGAAAGAACAGTTAGCCTGGCAAAACAAAGTCCAAGTTTCAGTTAGTAAAACTGACGATTAGAAAAACAAAAGAAACGCAAAACGAAGCATTAAAACATTAAAATGAGATCATAGACTTATTTGAGTCAAAGGCTGTCAAGAAATTAAGAAAAATAAAATAATGGGCAAAACCGTTTTATTAGTTGACAACAAAAACTGACTGACGTTGATCAACTACTGTGAACCAGTAAGGACTGGACAGCTGCCTCATCCCATTATGGGACTCGCCACTGGAAGCGCGCGTGCACAACAACGTTAGAGATCGTGGCTAAGTTTCTTAGAAAGCCCTTAAGCTTTAGACCATTAACAGCGGCATACATCCTTGCTGACGAAGCCGCAGACTTTAATGGTTGTCTGACTGAGGCCAGTCTGTTAGGTAAATCATAAAATTTTAAAAATTTTACAACTCCCCTTTATTATTTATTTGAACACATAAATATTGGTAAAAAGGGGCATCAAATACATGTGCACCATACAATCACAATGAGGTTGTGAAGAGATAGAGAATATGAAATGCGTATAATAATAATAATAATAATAATAATAATAATAATAATAATAATAATAATAATAATAATAATGATGATGATGATGATGATGATGATGATGATGATGATGATGATGATGATGATGATGATGATGATGATGATGATAATAATAATAATAATGATAATAATAATGATAATAATAATGATAATAATAATAATAATAATAATAATAATAATGATAATAATAATGATAATAATAATGATAATAATAATAATGATAATAATAATAATAATAATAATAATAATAATAATAATAATGGGAGAAACAGTTCAGTTAGGAAAAATACAACCAGAAAGAATTCCTTCAGTTAAAAAAGTCACATTTACGAAGAAAGTAAAATAAAGTTACAGAACGATCGCCAACGGCTTTTATTCTGAGCCATATTTGCTAACGTCTCTAGTCACTGGGTCGCACCATCTCTAGAACTCCGACCAGGGAGTCATGAAGGATTAGCAGAAGCCAGTCTTGTACAACTTTATTTCATACCACGACACCTTGTCATACACTGACCATCCCTCGGCTTTTTCCAACCAGTCCCAGCGTCGGCAAACAATTTAAGACGTCGAACTCTCTGGGACAACATTCGTAGGTGATGTGTGGGCAAGAATGATAATGATTAGTTGTTTGCTTAGTCAGACTAGTAGATAGTCTGACAGGCGTTGCATCAGTTATATATTCTCCTGTCCTTATTATTATTAATGATCGATTGTGTTGAATTGTGTCGGTCTTTGGTGTGAAATATATTTACTTTCTAGTCAGGCTAACCACGTATTTCTGAGGTGAGTTGTGTTAAAATCCTGTAGAGTAGACACTGGGAGGGAATCTAGTGCAGATATTCATCAAAGGTAAATTAACGTCTCATTCGTAAAGACAGAGAAAACTTGAGCGTTATAACAGTAGTTCATGTCCAAGCTAGTGACAATAATTGGTACAAGGAGGCACCAGATATATATGCGCCACAATTCCCTACACCCATTAGAGCTGTTTCCAGAATGTCATCGATAACAAAGTTGAAGAGGAATGGTGAGATTGGGCAACCCTGTCTAACCCCACTGCTCGAAAGGAACGATGGAAAGAGATGGTTTTATGCCCTCACTCTGCCTGAGGTGTTTGTATATAGGGCTTTTAGGATGTTAATAAACTTCTCAGGCACACCCTTCTTCAATAGGCAATCCCAGAGAACAGTCCTATCCAACGAATCGAAGGCAGCCCTGATGTCAAGAAACACTACGATTGTTGGCCTTTGATAAGTATGGCGGTGTTCTAACATTTGGCGGAGGGTGAACATATGATCAATACATCCTCGACCAGAATGAAACCCAGCCCGCTCCTCGCGAGTCAATCTTTCTCGGGTTTCGAACAATCTACGAAGTATGACGGAAGCCAATAGTTTGGACTCAATCGGGAGTAGACTCATTCCCCAATAGTTTTTGCAGAAACGGTGTGAACCCTTTTTAAAGATAGGGACAACTATTGACTCATTTTGTGATGTTGGAACACTCTCTAATTGCCAGACCTTTGTAAACAACTCAGTCAGTTCCTTAACCAGGAAGTCACCACCATCTTTAGAAAGGACTGGAGGTAAGTCGTCTGTGTCTGGTGATATGTAGCGCTTCAAGAGTTGGAGTTCCTTGCGGAATTCTACCTTGCTAGGTGGATCAGTCGTCACAGGCCATAGACGGTAGAACAGTTTGATTGATGTTGCCGATACAACCCCCTACATTAATAAAAACAAGGCTGAACAATTTATTATCACAACATGAAAACTCACCTTCAGAATCGGATGTTAGTACCTTTTTAGATGTTTTTGGTCTACTATTAACCTTGTTATTATTAGGTTTAGTTGAGTTTCCTTTCCTCTTAGACCCACCACCATCAAAAGCAAGAGATAATGCCTTGTTATATAACAATCTTTCATTATCTCTTAAGGGGATATGTGAATTTTTCTTAAGCATTGTTTGATTCACTCGATGAGCAGTTACTTCCAATAGTCGTTGATAGAAAGCAGATTTAGAACCAATGATATCATACTGATTGATATTGTTAACGGAACTATTAGAGGTTCTCAACATAGTTTGCACAAGTTCTGGAGGCCAATTACTGTCTGCACGTGAGATCTGTTTAGGATCCATAATTAATTCATTACGTATAGCGTTAAATTCATCTAAATGGGAATTTAAATCATTTTCTTCAGTTGAGCCAGACAAAGAATTGGGAATACTTATAGGCTGTAACGGGCTAATCACTACTAACGGACCTTTATTACCAAATCGAATTTCATCTCTTGTGCGAATAAAGTCAGATGAAAGATCCGACTGCTGAATGTCATTTGTCGGAACAGTATGATCAGTAGTAAAAGGGGTCTCCAATATTCTGTTATTTGGTTCACAAAGTGAAGAAGAATCTGAATCATCATTTGTCAGATCGATTTCAAGCGTGAAAGTTCGTGTAGACTGCGTATTACTTGAGCTATGAAGAATCGAAAATGGAAGTGATTTAGATATACGTAAAAACTGGTTTAAAAGTAACTGGTTACATTTGAAGTTATTAAATATATTATATCCACTGATAATTCCGACAAGAAGTTATCATAGTAGTGATATTTTTATAGACAGGAGATATAAAACAGATGTATTGAGACTAGTAGTAGCATCAAAGATTAGTGTTTCTTCCCGCTTGGGACTCGTCAGCCCAATATACCCTCCTCTAACAATAATTAATAATGGTAATATTAATACAAAAAATGACTTTCTAACTCCCAAAAATGTATGCTTATATGATACGGACTTGTTTCTCGAAATGTTATCATTTTCTGTTTTTTAAATGTCTGTTGCCTTAATATGCAATCACTACAGTATAAAATCTATTGCATAACTTATTCAACAGTTTATAGATAAGTACACATTACATAATGCAAGTGAAACAACTGAAAAGGTGTAAACACCAGTGGAACATAGGAAAGTGTTAACTTACATAGTACTTTTTTCTTTTAAACATGGAAAACCATTATTTATATCATCATTTTGACCGTTATTACAAGTGGTTTTATGCTTATCAACATTTTGTGGACACTGATTGACACTTTTATCATTACTGCCATTTTGGACATATGTCTTCGTCTCCTTTGTATCATTATTATTAATATCATCATCATCATCATCACTTAAGATAATTACCTCAGGTTCTGGCTGACAATTGTCATTATTACTATTAGTATTGTTGTGATTATCTTTAGTTACTTGTTCTGTCGTTTCCATATATGTATTGTTTATATCAACAGTGTTTGTTTCGGATTCATTCAATTTATCAGTAGTCACTTTGTCTCCTTCATTAGGTGCTTCAAGATTTTTCAATGTAATAGAAGCCTTTACATTTTCGACATTTTTCTGTTCAATTTTTAATTGATTAGATTCCGTGATGAAAGAACTATTTGGACTAACGTCATTAGGATTATTTAAATACCAATCACCATTTGCATCCAACTGAACAAATTCAACGTCAACACTACGAGGATTTTTCAAAATACTCATAAAAAATCTGGTGTGGAAAAGAAAACGAAATTACAAAATAATTACTTTTTACATCAATAATATGTACGCTTAAATTTACTGTTTATAAAAGTAAATATTAGGCAATTAGTGCTTCAAGGGATATAAGATTAACGATAAATGAATACTGAAAAATGAAAATGTTATTAAAATCCATCAATCAGTCGTAAGCAACGTAGAACCTGTCACATATATCCATAAGATCACGTTGTCACACCACATCAACACACGGTATGATGAAAGTATCAAAACAAATTCTCGAGTGATAGTAGAATAATAGTAGTAATAGTATAAGTGGTATTAGAACACATCATGTATATAGAAAATAGCATTAGAGAAGAAAGAATGAATTGAAGGGATAAAGTAATTATAGGATAATTCAGAACTGGATATCTAGGGGAAGATGCTGAATACGTGCATCTGCACCAATGAGAAATATCCTAAGCCATGTCACTCAACGTTTCCAACTATCGGTACGATAGTCGTGACACCAATTAGGTGAGCTTCATCTGACAACACGGTTCAGTATAACAGTTAGTGAACTTTACACATTGATGTCACAGCTTGATTTGGTAGAGCTTATAGACTTCCTACACCGTACATCAAGCTTTGGTGAATGGGCATACGTAATGCATGCCGAAATTTGAGTGTTGTTGTATTCGGTCTCACTCGTTAGGTTTTTCTCATTTCTACCTCGATGTTCACTGTCATAAACTGTTTTGGTGGACTTTTCTGATTTTCCTCCGTGAGGAAATGCCACATTTCACATAAATTTTTACAAAATTGCTTTCTAGTCAAGTTGGTCGTTCAGTCGATTAATTAGTAATCGAACTTATTGTTCTACATCTCTTTATTAATTAAAATTCCAAACTTCTTATAGTCTATTGAGGTACATAGTTACAATTTCCTTCCGTATTTATTTTTTAAAGGACTGGTGATCATTCTGAATGGAGAGTAGTACTAAGGCTAGGTTGGGCGACGACGGATTTCTATGTTCCAAGCAATGTATCTTCCAATGCTGCGTCACATCGAGCCCTTGTCTTGGAGTCATTACCTCGTTGCCTTTCTATTCGTGTCTCCGGTCGACCCGTACCCTTACCTGACCCCATTTTTCATGGTGGTCAGGCTCAACGTCTTGGAAAGCGCCTTCGTTTATCAATTGATATAACAGACAAAGTATGTGCATCTTTTTAATCTGATTATATTATTTTTAGCTCCATCGGTTTTTTGGCGAGACGTTCATTCAATACTGTCATAACCTGTGGCCTTGTGCCCTATTAGTATATAATGTAATGATACGGCCAATTAGAGAACAGTGATTTATCGACAGGCCCAATGACACATAGTCGTGACACCAATTAGGTGAGCTTCATCTGACAACACGGTTCAGTATAACAGTTAATGGACTTCACGCATTGATGTCACAGCTTGGTTTGTTCAAACTTATAGATTTCTTACACCTATTAAACGATAGACATAACAACATTAAAAAAGTCCACTTACTCATCTACTCTTAAGTCACGAAATGGTGCAGAGATACTACAAATAGGGCAAGACCAACGAGGTCTTCGCATATTGATTGTTAAATATGAGTGTAAATCAAAACACTGAAGATGTGAACAGTTGAACGATCGTACAGGAAGCTACAATAAAAATATGGAAAGATCAAATAATTTTAACAAATAACATTCTTTTATTTATGTTTAAATAATTTAAAGTGATAGTTGACATGATTATTATATTAGACGATTAACTATTGTATGGATTATGCTTTTTACGTTGGCATACAAAAACTTTTAGTCTCGAATACTGTTTTATAAAAACACCTTAATGAAAAGTTATTAGAATTGTATAATCTAACTATCGGGAGTGATAACTTAGTTGTTAAAACAATGTGGTCAGTTCCAAAGAATCACATGAAGTGTTTGGCTCAAATAAATTAGATTATAATTGTAGTATACACAGCAAACACAGCTTAAGATTTTATTTAACGATACTCTTAAATGCAGGCAATAACAACACTGTTGGAATACCTACACTTGACTCACATATTCCATCTTTAAAAATGGCACAGAATTGCCTTTTTGTATTAGTACGTTAAAGGGGAGTGGTTATAGTATGTGAAACCGAATGACACTGAAGAAAAATCAAATCTAGGTACGATACTACATTTGTGTAAAAACTACGGGCAGAGTTCAGTAGTAGACGATTATTAAATCACACAAATACTGATAATAAAGTGCTAAATAAAAAATTTAGAAAGGCAAACTAATCACAGGAAAGTAATAACAATGTAAAGGAGGAGAAACTTACATCGATTCTTGTTCGAGTTAGTGGACACAATAAGCACACAGGGATGTAGTCAGCAAGCTCAACGTCACCATCTTCAAAACATAAATCACTATCGTCAGACGATTTTTGAAGCCGAGATTTCAGTTCATGCTAGAATTAAAAAATAACGACAGAATAAGAAATAAGTTGTTTATTAATGATTACTTTTGATCTAAGAGTTGTAGGAATAAATAATATCAACAAATGTCTTTTACAAACCACAGAAGATTAGTATGAAATGCAAAAGTGCTTGGAATTAATCATTTTGTACTTAAAAATCTAGCTTAAAAATAATTCAAGATTACAAAATCAAACCAGCTGTTTCCTTCAAATGAATGACCACTTTTTTCTGACAAGTTATTTTACTGACACAAACCAAACTCATAGAACATAACATCTTACAATAATTATTCACTTAAGGGTGGTACAAAAACATTCGTTAACATAATAAGATTGATTAATATTAGACTTCTCTACCATTCATTTGTAAGAAGTAAACGATTATGTTAAACAATATATGGACGTTGATAGTACTTGATTATCGGTGTCTTTAACACGTTGCTCAGATGGAGTACAAATGCAAACCATGTTAAAGGTTAGGTACAACGTTTAAAACAGAAATATGATGAGACTATCAAACTGACTTATTTCAAGGTAGTATATATCAAGTCACCATTTGTTTGATGTTCATTGTTGGTTAATGGAGTCTTTAAAATAAAACGTGAAAAACCTAAATTAAAACACAGAATTAGCCTTCGGAATTACGGTTTTGGCAGTATAAGGAACAAGTCTTTTAGGTTAGAACTAGTGGGATTTGATTTCACAACTTTGATAGACTAGGGTTCACTTCGTCGAATAGCAGTTATTTGGATCATTTCTGTTGTTAATAAGTCAGAAGATCAACTATTTCCATCACTAAATTTTACTAGAAATCACAATAGGCGTTGTATTGAACAATTTAAGGTTGAATAATGTCACTTCTGATTAATTAGAAGTTTACTAGTTACTGATTATTGATATAAATAACAATTATCTGACTATATCAACCCGAATATATTTTTTGTTGCCTGTTGTTGCTTTCACTTCAAAAGCATCAAAATACATTTGGACACTAAGATAAATTAAATGTCAAGATCGTTTTCATAACGCTATGCATCGGAACTGTAAAAAAGACTGACAACTAGCAAACTAGTTGAGACAAAAATCATTACTTTTGTATTATCAGCAGGAAGTGAGAATGCCGTTGGCAAACAATTGTCATAAGCTCCGAAAACCCCGTGATCTTCTAAAGTTCCTGAACCATCTGCATTTACTGTTAATGATGGAAATTCGATAGGATCTAAGAGTGGTCCATTGATGAAATTTTTGTAGGCCTCTGGATTTTCCAAATTAAAGGTATTTCGAAGATCGGAAACTGAATAAGCTCGATCAAGTGTAACTTGAACTAGAGGCAACCCAATTAGATGACATAACAATGGAGAAACCAGTCCATCAGCAACCAAGTTTAAGAGTCCTACAGATTGATCTTCCAACGGTGCATGCAACCAGGTTAATTCAATATCGACAACTCTGTTTCTAACTGCAGAACCACACTTCATGAGTACCTGATTAAAAAAATTATTGTTCAAGTTGTAACTCGTGAAATCTATGTGGAACAAGTAACACAAATACGTAAATATACTCCGTTTGTTCATCCCCTATCGGGAAATTTATTAACGTGATAAGTAAACGGTAAAAAGTCACTAATCATTAAAAGATTTGTGAGATAGATAATGCAACACTACATAGTTGGATATCTACAATAGATTCATTGGAATGTTTACTTCAATTTGTCTAGAAATTAACTAAATTCAATGAAATGAACAAGGCTTCGGTGAAACCAAGTTAAAAACAAAAATTTAGTGAATGTGTTTACCAAACTTGTTGAAAATTGCCTAAGTTAAGTTGGAAACCATTATGGATGACACTTCATGTCTACAGTGTTTCCATCATGTAATTTTTACTTCGGTGGTTTGTGAAGAATAGTTCAGTCTGGAGATCATTTTCGTCACGAATCAAATGAAACCAATTAAAAAACAAGATCAAGCACTGGGTAAAGGTTGAAAATCGGTTTGTAAAGTAATGAATTTTCATCGTCTGAGGTGGTTTGGATATGTATTACATGGACCCATACCTTGAAACACAGTTGTAAGATTTTTCTTGTATGCATTTGCTTATTTGTGTGTAAAAATCCCTTCATATATAAAATCCATGTGATGGCACTTATTTGTTTCCCTTTATGCGTAACGCTACTCCTACTATTCAGTATTCACGTTTAATATTTTCAATATTATTGATTTGTTTGAAGTGAATATATTGGCTACAGATTCCGAAATTGACCAATGTATATATGTATCATAATCTAATTTACTTACGACTGATTGCTTGAATTGAAGAAACGTTGAAAACCGGGAGTGCGTTATCTTGATAACACTCAATTAGAAATTCAAGGGTTTATATTTATAGCTTCTGTTAATCAACGATATTGTGCAAGCATTGGTTAGTTGCACTAATGATATCTATCTAACTAGAGACATGCCTTAACCCCGGCAGTCACGATTTGTTAAGCGAACTTCGGGAATTTGTTATGAAGTTAGTCAATATTGAACATATCATTTTTTACTTAGACGGCTTGTGGATATTTGTTAATTTATTTGATCGAACATTGTTGCATATACGAAACAAGAATATTGACAGGTTATATTTCATATGAATAAGCTGTCAAAACAAGAGATGTGTTGAAGTTAAACTAGATTAACTCGTTTACCAGGTGCTCGAGTATGAGCAACACTATAAGTGTGAGGGTTAATGATACTATCCTATTGCTCAAACCGAATTAGGTGTGTCGGGGTTCGGACCTGCAACTGAGGTTAAAGCATAATTAAACCGTAGTAACATGGCCACCTTAAGAACGATTCATTTCCGTTATGCGGTAACTAAATAACTGTTTATTAACTTTCACACTGAGTGAGTAGAGAACATTGATTACCATTAATTGCAATACCATTCTCTAATATATCCTGAGATATTTCTTATTTCCAGTCAAGTTTTGAGATAGTTTAAAAGATGATAAAAAAAAGTAAACAGATCCCACGGCATATCTAAGATTATAAAGAAAACTACTGAGGTTTTTGTAAAAGCTTAGAATAAACCTAATTAGGCGATTTGGTGGAATGTATTAGATCATTACTATAACGTTTGTCCTCCCATTAAGTTATGTTTAAAACTCCTAGTCTTTAAATAACGATGTAAATAAAAAGGTTCACTGGTTATAATGTATTTGTTAAATTCCGATGAGAATAATGAATGATAACTGTTGGAATTTATTTCTGGACTAATACTATACTATTTTTACTGAATAATTATTAAGTAGCTAAACTATGCATATTCATGTTCCTCCTATTACCAGCTTTATTTTCACTCACAGACTATTAGTATACCGTTTACCGTTCTTGAGTTATGCCCAGTCTATTATTTACAATCTCTTACGACCACAGACACTTATGGCTAGATCTTGTACAAATGTTATTTTCTATTTTGTGGTATGATGTGGTATGTTTGACTGGTGTGTATAAACCCAGTATGTTTGAATTACATAATTCATATCGTGGAGGCTGAGATTGGTGTTCAGGACTTAACAGGAAGCAGGACTGACAGATTCTACACTATTCGTACTAGTTTTATGTGTCATTGGGCCTGTCGATAAATCACTGTTCTCTAATTGGCCGTATCATTACATTATATACTAATAGGGCACAAGGCCACAGGTTATGACAGTATTGAATGAACGTCTTGCCAAAAAACCGATGGAGCTAAAAATAATATAATCAGATTAAAAAGATGCACATACTTTGTCTGTTATATCAATTGATAAACGAAGGCGCTTTCCAAGACGTTGAGCCTGACCACCATGAAAAATGGGGTCAGGTAAGGGTACGGGTCGACCGGAGACACGAATAGAAAGGCAACGAGGTAATGACTCCAAGACAAGGGCTCGATGTGACGCAGCATTGGAAGATACATTGCTTGGAACATAGAAATCCGTCGTCGCCCAACCTAGCCTTAGTACTACTCTCCATTCAGAATGATCACCAGTCCTTTAAAAAATAAATACGGAAGGAAATTGTAACTATGTACCTCAATAGACTATAAGAAGTTTGGAATTTTAATTAATAAAGAGATGTAGAACAATAAGTTCGATTACTAATTAATCGACTGAACGACCAACTTGACTAGAAAGCAATTTTGTAAAAATTTATGTGAAATGTGGCATTTCCTCACGGAGGAAAATCAGAAAAGTCCACCAAAACAGTTTATGACAGTGAACATCGAGGTAGAAATGAGAAAAACCTAACGAGTGAGACCGAATACAACAACACTCAAATTTCGGCATGCATTACGTATGCCCATTCACCAAAGCTTGATGTACGGTGTAGGAAGTCTATAAGCTCTACCAAATCAAGCTGTGACATCAATGTGTAAAGTTCACTAACTGTTATACTGAACCGTGTTGTCAGATGAAGCTCACCTAATTGGTGTCACGACTATCGTACCGATAGTTGGAAACGTTGAGTGACATGGCTTAGGATATTTCTCATTGGTGCAGATGCACGTATTCAGCATCTTCCCCTAGATATCCAGTTCTGAATTATCCTATAATTACTTTATCCCTTCAATTCATTCTTTCTTCTCTAATGCTATTTTCTATATACATGATGTGTTCTAATACCACTTATACTATTACTACTATTATTCTACTATCACTCGAGAATTTGTTTTGATACTTTCATCATACTGTGATGATATGATGTGACGTCAGCCAACGGACATGTGTCAGAGCCTAATTTGTTTATGACTGACTTAACTTCTGGAAGTACAAAGTGACGGAAGGAGTGATATACAAATTCGCAAAATAAGATGGTAACTGACATAATGTAGTTGGAGATAGTTATCAGAACCTGGACATAGGTTGAGACTCGTCAGTTAGTCGTATCTGGAATCAGAGAGTATCCAGTACCCCAAGTGGGTTTCGGACCAAGATCAGCCACTTTCATAGCATGATAATACGCTAACGATATGTCCAAGCTGACACTGACCTCCCGTAAGAATGAAATATGTACAACGTTTAATCATTGAGTAGTAGTTCTACGAACTAACCCGTCATTGGTTACTACTCGGTGATCAAAGTAAGCACGGTAACCCGTTTCTTAGCTTTAGTTCCGAGTATTCAAGAGTCATCATAGTATACGAATGAATAAAAGTAATAACATCCTGGTAGAGTTCGAAAATACCATGCATTCGAATATCAAAAAATTTTACCCGACCACAAAACTTTGTTGATTTTAACGAGTTACTTATAAGTAGTTAAAAACAGAAGACAAAAGTAAACAGACGACTAGTGGGAATAGTCGAAAACAAAAACAAACCACTGACGTGCATGATAGATCTATGAGTAAAAACATTAATATGAAAAGAAAAACAGCAGATACCCCCCCCCCAAAAAAATTAGGTAACATTAAAAGCACAAACAATGCATAAGTGAAAGAGACAGTCACCTATAGACATTTATTATCTGAACTGATGAAAGAACACTCAGAAAAAACATGGAAGCATTGAGGGAAATTTGCAGAATACTCATCAAACATTACTTTTACAGTTGTATGAAGAGTATATCTAACCTCAGAAAGTTCAACCAATACAGAACTGTAATTAAAATACAGTATGCCCGCAGAGTTATTAAAAAACATCAAAATTGAAATGTCCAAACATCGAAGGATGATGAAAGTTCACAACCTGATGAAACCTATAGCTGAATAAGAAACTGGCGCGGATGCCAAGAACTAGTCTCTCCAGAACTAGCTTAAATGAAAAACCTCTGTTTGAAAAAGAATTAATTTAGACAGACTGTCCTCGGGCCGACCTGTCTAATTTCGATCACAAGTGACCTACAAAGGCGACCAATCAGGATGGAAGTTAAAAATCGATAGATTAACTTGTGTACTGACACGCTCACAGTGAGACCTGCAGTCTGAATTAGTGGATCACTTGTTTAATTTAATTCATGTCTGTCTATCTAAACTTTGAATACATAATTTAGTGCGACAGACATACTTGCGAAAACACGAATCAATATTTTAGTACACAGACCAATCTACGAAAATAACTAGAAAAATGAGAACTCGTGTTTAGTTTAACGTAATACTATTTTGCAAATAAACGATAAAAACTACTGTGTTTTATATCAGTGCTTGCATGGAAAATCGGTCTCCCAATATAGTTTAAGTTTCAGATGACCATTAGAAATATAATCCCATGAAATTACATGTTCTTTGTTTGGACCATGTGGCACCCGTTACTACCTAAATAATATGACTTCGTAAAACAATTATTATGACAAATAACGTATACCACAAATTCTTCTTAGCATGTCAACGCGCACACTTAGGTAATGTATTAAAAAGGAATTCCTTCATTTCAGCACTTTTTCTAAAGAACCTGAATAGTATGATAATGAGGCAGTGGGTCAAATGCAATGGATTTCAAGAAACGAAAATCAAAACTATTGCAAAGCACTATCGGCTAAGATGTATGGAGATGACAAGAAAACAAGTTTATGGATTTATTGTTATGGTGAGACTGGCTTTATTCAATATATGTTTAGTACGATATGGAATTCTCAGCACATAATATTTTAACGAGTTCCTTTTAAAAAACAAAAAACGATAACATACATACACTAAGTTAGTGAACTACCTGGAATTAAATGGAATGTTTCAAGTGCAATAAGAACCTGTACAGCTTATAATTAGACACATTTAAAAATACAAATAGGTCAGCTCTAACAACCTACTATTCAAAGTATATTCGTTAGATAAAGTACCATATTAATAATGGCCTCAAAACATTCACCACATACCCTGCTAACTGCCTTCATCATTCTGCAGAACAGCAAAATCTTTTTTTCAAAAACCCGACAAAGAATGACAGGTAATATGCAAGAACTTACAAATCGTAAAATTAATGAAGAAAGAATGTAGCCTCTTTATATAATAAATTAAACGGAAAACTCAATATCACTAAAACATGAGAAGACGGAAAGAGATCAAAGGAAAAACTTCCACAAAAACAAATAAGTTTTGATACTGTTTATTACGGAATCGCCAGTAGTATAAACTTTATGGGAATCCTACAAGGTGTTTAAGGACTATTTATATCTCAGTCTAAAATTAGAAGTTTGCCACTTTATTTATTTATTTAAACACAAACATTCGTACCCCCACCGCGAGAAGGCATTGGGTAAGACTTCCCTGATCGTGGCTGTATACGCGTGGCCATGTGTGAGCATTTAGAGAGGGAGAGCAGACTCTCCCCACTATCGGCCGTACCAGGGCATTTGAGGGAAGTTTGCGATTCAGAAAGATTACGTGTGAAGCTATTAACAACCAACGATCGTTCAATGAGAGACAAAAGCTCATTCATTTCAAGGGGACATAAATAGGTAGATATCGGTGTATATGCAATGAGATCGTCCATACATTGAACAGAAGTATTTCCTGTGGAGATGGCAGATCATTTAGGAAAAAAAGGAGACAGAACAGCTCATTGTGGCACGCCTTCATGAGTAAGCGGAGACGTAGAACACTTTCTTCCGAGGACGGTGTACTGCTCTTTTCCAGAAAGGTAAGAACGCATCCAGATGGTTATCAAGTTGTAGGTTTTAATGACAGTAAACGTGTTATGGTGCAAAATAATAGCAGCATCGAAGATACTTCTTTTGCATTTGTAAGCAAACTGATATGGATCAATATGCTCTTTAAATGCAGGTTGAAGTGGGAGTAGTAGTAGTTTTCCCATTGTTTTGAAAAAAGAAGTTATTGCTATGGGTGTAATTTTCACACTCCTATCACCATATACTTTTCTCCACCTTTTCAGTATGAAATTAGTTGAGAAGGATTTGTTAAAGATGTCCATGAATGGATGACATAGAGTGCCAGCACACTTCTTAAAAAGGAGGTTTGGGATTTCGTCAGGTCCCAAATATTAGAACGAGTTGATTGACTGGAAACACTATCAGACATCAGTTTCAATGAATATCGAAACACAACTATTCTTTAAACTTGTGGATACAGGGAGCATGACATCAGATAACTGACGTACAAAAGACTTAAGTCATAAACATTCAGCTGGTTATCTTCATCAATATATCTCCCACCTGTAAGCTCTTTAAAATAGTTTCCACACATTTGAAGAGTTTTTACAAGGTATGAGTATCTAAGTAAGCATCGGATTCAGATTGTTGGGTGTCATTACCAAGGTCTGACTCGATAATTCCACATAAATTGAGCAATGGGTAGATTTTTATTAATAAAAATAATATATCTGTAATACTGAAATGAGTAGAAAAATCAGGTTTTTAAATTTTCTGACGTTTCGTTTTTCAGTGTAAGCCACTTCTTCTGAAATGGTTTTAGTTGTATGGGATTTGTTCAAGTGAACGGTTTTACTATATAGATTTTTTATGCATTATACAAATGATTATTGGGACAAAATTTGGTTATGAATCTAAGAAAATAAGTTTAAAAAAACATACTTTTTATGCACACTGCAGAAACCAAATTCATCAAGACAGGCCAGAACGAAATATTCAAATAGACGTATCAGTCAATATATGCTGTGGCGATTGATGAAAATAAGTATCTTGTCTGTAACTTCGATACTTTCGTTTTCTTTAAAATTCGATACGGTTGTGAAATACATAATTTTCAATTTTTCCCCCTTGTAAAATGTATTTACCATCACCTTTTGAAGAACAGCTTGTCTACACGCTTTTTCTAGATTTCCGCTGCTTAATTGTAGATTAAAATTAATCTCCAACTTAAATTTACGGGAGTTTTTTTTAAAGATCGAATGCACAGCTATCAGCTTTTACGTTAAGATTTCACTACACAGTGTCATGAAGACCTGGATCTAACATCTAATTCATCATTATGCAAGAATTTATCTGATTAGTCTAACAATTCAGTGAGTTTCAACCTTATTTGTTGGCGCTTTTATTATATCAGTACATATGAACTTACTTAGGACGTAGTAGCTTGACAACTTGACGCTCCAATTCTAAGGTAAATACATAGGTCATGTAGTCTGTTGTGAAACCTACAGAAGCTGCAGAAGGTGGAAATTGTGGAGCGAAACCTGGATACTTTGTTACTTTAGCATCAGCTATTTCACGCAGAGAACGGACCATATTATCAGTATCCGGTATATTTGGATTGACATTTCCAGGAGCAGTAAACTGAACACGGCGCAGTAGTACTACAGGTCGCAAAAAAGGAGATTCAGAATAAATGCCTAAAAGACCAGGTGGAGAAATGATCCAGTTCATTTCATGCAATGCATCTGAATCGGCTTTGCATCGAGGCCAAACAGAAATCCGCTCCTTTCTGAACGACCGTGTACACGCTAAATACAAAGGAAAGCAAATGTTACTATATGATTTAGTCATACAACTAAAATGATAAGCATAAATCAGACAGTTACGTGAAAACAAAACAATGTTCCATGAATTCGATATACATTTCAAACATTAGCAAGTATTGTACAATAAATTTAATGTGATCACCATTCACTACTGCTATTTCTAGTTTCTGTCAAGTACATACAAGATGGAAGCAGAACTTAGCAAAAACTCGAAGTAAAGTAATACCATGAACGTCTATGGTAATGATTCTAACTAACAACAAACGCATTAAGGAAAATAATAAATTCATATCAAAGAGAGCTGGTTTAAATAAATAAAAAAGAAATTAAGTCACACTATTTTATTCAGTAATTGTGTCGATATGAAGCCTAAGAAATACGCTTAAGTCAAGTTCGAATTTGTTGGCGAGTGACTGATCTATAAATTTCTTATCTCCCAATCGCCTAGGAAATCTAATTATGTTTATTTTGTAATTAATGTATTGTACATAAACATAATATTTTGTTAAAAGAAAACTTATTCTGGTGGATAGTTGACTTGTTTTTTTAGTGTGATTTTATTTAGTGACTTACGGCAATAATTTGAACTTGTAAACAGTTATTACTCGCTTACACCGCATCAATGAGTCTCCTCTGTCGATCAGAATTAGATTCCTTTACTTTAACAAGCTAAATGCCACTCGCTATTATAAAATACTCGAAATCCTTCCATGACATATACCTTCAACGACGGAGTCTTACACGTGAAAATCTGATATTACGGTAAGAAAGACCACATACATGCAAAAGAAACAAATTTTTCGGTACTGAATTTTAATACACGTGCAAGGTATAAAATGAATTCGTGATCTACGACCGCAGAAAATTAGTGATTTTATCAAACGTCAGTAAGCGAATAGCTGAGCTGATTCTGAACTTGCAGTAAGCACAGTAGAATTATCAGGTATTTTGTCTACAAGAGGGCTTAAATGAAATTCGATGATAACTTAGAGTGAAAAATATCCTAGAAAAGAAATCGAACATTACAAACCTTCTGCCCATCGAACAAAAGCCGCAGCACCCAGTTTTCGCGTGCGATTGAGTGAGTCAGAAACTGAAACAAAATTACTCGACACAAATAATGATTCCACAGATGGATTGGCTGTACGACTGGTAGTCAGTGAATTACAAGTTGTAGTGGCCGTGGTTGTACATGTCGATGTGGAATTGACATTGTTACGTGTGGTACAGTTTGTTGACCTCAATGCAACTGAGTTTACTGTGCCATGCGTGGATCCAGACGAAATAATTCCAGGCGCAGTGATGCGAATATTCGGCTGATAAGATAGTTGCGTAGGTCGAAAACCAGTGAACAGATTCCCATTCGGTCCTGCCACTGTATTAACATAACCTGAGACATTCGGGGGAGCAATGGTAACTTGAGATGGATTTGTTCCACGTAAAAGTGTTTGAAAAATACTGTTAAATGCTGGGTAATTTGCGAAAGCGTTGGCATTTGACTGAGCAATGTTACTTGTAGTGACTAAAGGGAAATTTGACGTTGAATTACTGACTAGAAAAGCAATTTTAATAAACTAGATTTATTTTACCGGTAGGTTTCTGTAGGACATTACTGCCTCTGGATTGTGCAGTTGATGGATAAGCATTAAATACATTTCTAGGAACGGAAACTAAGGATGATGCTTGTGATATGACCGGTATTGGGAGGGAGTAGTCAGAACGACATAACTCAAAAGGTAAACCAGATCTGATAGTACTATTTGGTAGATTAGGAGTGCTCATTTTCAAACTATAAGAAGCTAAGGAGATTTAAAATAAATAAACAGAGATTAATAATGGTGAGACAATAATTATGCAGAAAGATTTATATATATATATATCTATATATCTATATATCTATATATATATATATATATATATATATATATATATATATATATATATATATATAAAATTAAAATTCCCCGATACATTCTATAGCAATTCACTGTTTAACTTTGCGATAGCAACCCTTTAAAGGTACAGGACATAAGTTGATTATTGTTTGACAATAGATATGTTCGTAGCATTGGTGGTGGATGGTGGAACAACAGAGTAATATTGAAATTGGGTTTAATTATTTACTTGAAAACATAAATATTGGGACAAAGGGCACCGAATAAATATCCACCACACAAGTCACTTGATTTGTGTATGGGCTGTGATACTGCCCAGATGCCCAGGTCGAAGCAGGTGGTATTATTAGGGAGTCACACTCCGAGCATTTGACACAAAAATCTAATCCACAAGGTAGTGGAGCAACGTTAGAAGATGCAGTCCCATGGTAGTCGGTGACCAACGATTGGTTCATACGCCATTTGCTCCTTCAGGACACCGGAGCCCATATGCACCATTCGTTTGGAGTTAGGGTCTACCAAATCCCCTGGGTGGATCCTCCATATCCACCAACCCAGTTAAAGCGCCGGACATTCGCTTTTCGCCCTCCCAACTTCGTAAATAACACCCCCACCGCGAATGTCCGGCGCTTTAACCGGATCCCAAACCAAATCAATGGTGAGAGCAGTTTTGCTCTATGCTTGCGAAACCTGGCCTCTCCGAGTTGAGGACGTTAGAAGACTCTGTGTTCGATCATCGTTGTCTCTGAAGGATTGCTGACATCCAGTGGCAACACCATGTTAGTAATGCAGAGGCTCGGCATCGTGTGTTCGGGCACAGAGATGATAAGGCAATCGGTGTCACCATCTTGAAACACCGACTTCGGTGGCTTGGACATGTTCTACGAATGTCGTCCCAGAGAATTCCACGTCGTGCATTATTTGCCGACTCTGGGACTGGCTGGAAAAAGCGGAGAGGTGGTCAGTATATGACATGGTGTCGTGGCATGAAAGAAAGCTGCAAAGGACTGGCTTGTGTTGGTCCTTCACGACTCCCTGCTACACAATGGCTAGAGACGTTATCAGATATGGCTCAGAATAGAAGCCAGCGGCGATCCTGCTGTAACCTTCTCTTACTTTCTTCATAAAAAGTGGTTGTGTCTCCCTTAACTGAAAGATTTCTTCTGATTGTACCTTTCCGTTCCCTCATTATTACTATTATTATTAATACACTACTTTACTCCAATCTCTTCGTTATTGTTCTCTTTTTTACGCTCCTTACCTTTTTTTCTTTTTCCTTCTCTTTGAATTCTCATTATTTTGTATGGCGCATATATATTGGCGCCCTTTTGTACCAATATTTATGTTCAAATAAATAAATAATAAATAAACCACCGCGAGAAGGCATTGGGTAGGAATTCTCTGATCGTGGCTGTATACGCGTGGCCATGTGAGAGCATTTCGAGAGGGAGAGCAGACTCTCCCCACTCTCGGCCGTACCGCTTCACTTATCTTGGAAGTCTCATCAGCCCTTGTGGTCTGGTGTGTGACGAAATCTCAGCACGGATACAGAAGGCTCGACTAGCTTTTGCTAACTTGCGTCATTTATGGCGTAGGCGAGATATCCGTCTATCAACTAAAAGACGTGTTTACTGCGCAGCAGTTCGTCCCGTCCTACTTTATGGCAGTGAAACATGGCCGGTAAGAGTAGAGGATATTCGCAGGTTACTAGTATTCGATCATAGGTGTCTTCGAAACATTGCTCGTATATCATGGGACCATCGAGTAAGTAACACAGTTGTTAGAAAACGGGTACTAGGTAAGGATGGCATATCAATTGATGAAGTAGTGAAACTTCACCAGTTGAGATGGCTGGGACACGTGTTACGTATGCCCAACCACCGACTACCTCGACGTGCT